TGTGTTTCGTACTTATTTTTCCTTTGGATACATTTTTAAGAGAATTAATGAATGTTTTAAGATTGCATATGAATGCTCTTGATATTGGGATTGCATTAATGATTTGGATACTATTTGTGAAACTATTACTAGTGCTTGACGTGAGTAATCGCGTGCCAACTTGTTCTTATATTTGTGTGCAAACTTAGGTCAAAGCCTAATGTTTTTGAAATTTTATGTTTTGCTTTAACAATGACTTTTGCTAGACTCAACCTTTAAAATATGAAATACCGTTCTAGCAGGTTATTAAATGGACTTGAATTTGAATATCTTGAATCGAACGTTTCTAGACTTGCTCAAAGTGAAGAAACATGATAACTTGCGTTGGTTTTAGTTTTTCACAGTGTTAAGTGGAAGTTGTAAAGAACTTTGGAGCTTAAAATATCAAAATCTATTTTTCAACAATCTTGGGCGTGAAAACCATTTACACAACTTCAAATTGTGACATAAAAATCATTTTACACAAGTTTTTTAACTTTTCGTTGTGTTCCGTACTTATTTTTGCTTTTGATACATTTTTCAAGAAAATTCGTGAATTCTGTGGGATTGCATATGAATACTTTTGATATTGGGATTGCACGAAAGATTTGAATACTATTTGTGAAACTGTTACTAGTGCTTGATGTAATAAATCATGTACTAACTTGTTTTTATATTTGTGCGTAAACTTAAGTCAAGGCCTAATGTTTTTGAAATTTTATGTTTTGCTTTGAAAATGACTTTCGCTGAACTCAACCTTTAAAATATGAAATACCGTTCTAGTAGGTTCTTAAACGAACCTGAATTTGAATATCTTAAATCCAACGTTTCTAAACTTGCTTAAAGCGAAGAAACATGATAAGTTGTGTTTGTTTCAGTTTTTCACAGCATTAAGTGTAAGTTTAGAAGGACTTTAGAGCTTAAAATATCAAAATCTGTTTTTGAACAATCATGGGCGTGAAAACCACTTGCACAATTTCAAAATGTGACATAAAAACCATTTTGCACAAGTTTTTTAACTTTTCATTGTGTTTCGTACTTATTTTTATTTTTGATACATTTTAAAAGAAAATTCGTGAATTCTATGGGATTGCATATGAATGCTTTTAATATTGGGATCGCATGAATAAATTGAATACTATTTGTGAAATTGTTACTAGTGCTTGACATGATTCATCGCGTGCCAACTTGTTCTTATATTTGTGTGCAAACTTAGGTCAAGGGCTAATGATTTTGAAATTTTATGTTTTGCTTTCAAAATAACTTTTCGCTGGACTCAACCTTCAAAATATGAAATACCGTTCCAACAGGTTATTAAACGGACTTGAATTTGAATATCTTGAATCCAACGTTTCTAAACTTGCTCAAAGCGAAAAAAACATGATAAGTTGCATTGGTTTTAGTTTTTCACAGCGTTAAGTGTAAGTTGTAAAGGACTTTGAAGTTTAAAATATCAAAATCTATTTTCGAACAATCATGGGCGTGAAAACCACTTGCACAATTTCAAATTGTGACATAAAAATCATTTTGCACAAGTTTTCACTTTTTGTTATGTTTCATACTTATTTACTTTAGATACATTTTTAAGAGAATTAATGAATGTTGTGGGATTGCATATGAATACTCTTGATTTGGGATTGCATGAATGATTTGAATACTATTTGTAAAACTGTTACTAGTGCTTAACGTGATTAATCGCGTGCCGACTTGTTCTTATATTTGTGTGCAAACTTAGATCAAAACCTAATGTTTTTTAAATTATATGTTTTGCTTTGAGAATGACTTTCGCTGGACTCAACCTTTAAAATATGAAATACCATTCCAATAGGTTCTTAAACGAACCTGAATTTGAATATCTCGAATCCAACGTTTCTAAACTTGCTCAAAGCGAAGAAATATGATAAGTCACGATGGTTTTAATTTTTCACAGCGTTAAGTGCAAGTGATGAAGAATTTTGGAGCTTAAAATATCAAAATCTATTTTTCAACAATCATTGGCGTGAAAACCACTTGCACAATTTTAAATTGTGACATAAAAACCATTTTGCATAAATTTTTTAACTTTTCATTGTGTTTCGTACTTATTTTTGCTTTGGATACATTTTTCAAAAAACTTCATGAATTCTATGGGATTGCATATGAATGCTTTTGATATTGAGATGGCATGAATGATTTGAATACTATTTGTGAAACTGTTACTAGTGCTTGACGTGATTAATTGCGTGCCAAGTTCTTATCTTTGTGCGCAAACTTAGATCAAGACTTAATGTTTTTGAAATGTTATGTTTTACTTTGAAAATGACTTTCGCTGGACTCAACCTTTAAAATATGAAATATCGTTCCAGCAGGTTATTAAACGGACCTAAATTTGAATATCTTGAATCCAACGTTTCTAAACTTTCTCAAAGCGAAAAAACATGATAAATTACGTTGGTTTTAGTTTTTCACAGCGTTAAGTGCAAGTTATAAAGGACTTTGGAGCTTAAAATATTAAAATCTGTTTTCGAATAATCATAGGCATGTAAAACATTTGCACAATTTCAAATTGCGACATAAAAACCATTTCGCACAAGTTTTTCACTTTTCGTTGTGTTTCATACTTATTTGCTTTGAATACATTTTTAGAAGAATTAATGAATGCTGTGGGATTGCATATGAATGCCATTTATATTGGGATTGCATCAATGATTTAAATACTATTTGTGAAACTGTTACTAGTGCTTGACATGATTAATCGCATGCCAACTTATTCTTTTATTTGTGTGCAAACTTAGGTCAAAGCCAAATTTTTTGAAATTTTATGTTTTGTTTTTACAATGACTTTACTCAACCTTTAAAATATGAAATACTGTTCCAACAGGTTCTTACACGAACCTGAATTTGAATATCTTGGATCCAACATTTCTAAACTTAGTCAAAGTGAAGAAATATGATAAGTTGCATTGGTTTTAGTTTTTCACAGCGTTAAGTGCAAGTGGTGAAAGATTTTGGAGCTTAAAATATCAAAATCTGTTTTTCAACAATCATGGGCATGAAAACCACTTCCACAATTTTAAATTGTGACATAAAAACCATTTTGCATAAGTTTTTTAACTTTTTATTGTGTTTCGTACTTATTTTTGCTTTGGATACATTTTTTAAGAAAATTCATGAATTTTATGAGATTGTATATGAATGCTTTTAATATTAGGATTGTGTGAATGATTTGAATACTATTTGTGAAACTGTTACTAGTGCTTAACGTGATTAATGGGGTGCCAACTTGTTTTTATCTTTGTGCGCAAACTTAGGTCAAGGCCTAATGTTTTTGAAATTTTATGTTTTGTTTTGAAAATGACTTTCGTTGAACTCAACCTTTAAAATATGAAATAAGCTTATTAAACGGACCTGAATTTGAATATCTTAAATTCAACGTCTCTAGACTTGCATAAAGTGAAGAAACATGATAAGTTGTGTTGGTTTTAGTTTTTCACAGCATTAAGTGAAAGTTTTAAAGGACTTTGAAACTTAAAATATCAAAATCTATTTTTCATCAATCATAGGCGTGAAAACCACTCATACAACTTCAAATTGTGACATAAAAACCATTTTGCACAAGTTTTTTAACTTTTTGTTGTGTTTCATACTTATTTTTGCTTTGGATACATTTTTCAAAAAAATTCGTGAATTCTATGAGATTGCATATGAATGCTTTTGATATTGGGATTGCATGAAAGATTTGAATACTATTTGTGAAACTGTCACTAGTCCTTAACGTAATTAATCGCGTCCTAACTTGTTTTTATATTTGTGCGCAAACTTAGGTTAAGACCTAATATTTTTGAAATTTTATGTGTTGCTTTGAAAATGACTTTCACTAAACTCAACCTTTAAAATATGAAATATCGTTCCAATAGATTATTAAACGAACCTGAATTTAAATATCTTAAATCCAACGTTTTCTTAAACTTGCTCAAAGCGAAGAAACATAATAAGTTACATTGGTTTTAGTTTTTCATAAGGTGAAGTGCAAATTGTAAAGGACTTTAGAGTTTAAAATTCAAAATCTATTTTTAAACATTCACGGGCGTGAAAACATCTTACATAATTTCAAATTGACATAAAAATCATTTTGCACAAGTTTTTAACTTTTCATCATGTTTTATACTTATTTATTTTTGATACAATTTTAAGAGAATTCATAAATACTATAAGATTGCATATGAATGCTCTTGATGTTGGGATTACGTGAATTATTCGGATAATATTTGTGAAATTATTATTGGTGCTTCACGTGATTAATCTCGTGTCAACATGTTTTTTATATTTGTGCGCAAACTTAGATCCCAACCTAATGTTTTTAAAATTTTATGTTTTACTTTAAAAATGACTTTCATTGCACTCAACCTTTAAAATATGAAATATTGTTCCAACATGTTCTTAAGCGAACCTAAATTTGAATATATTGAATACAACGTTTCTAAACTTGCTAAAAGCGAAGAAACATGATAAATTACATTGATTTTAGTTTTTCACCTAAGTGCAAGTAGTAAAAGACTTTAAAGCTTGAAATTTTATGTTTTGCTTTGAAAATAACTTTCACTACATTTTGCACAAGTTTTAAACTTTTTTTGTGTTTCATACTTATTCCCCATTTGCACAATTTGGCTAATGATTTTGGATACTATTTGTGAAATTCTAAATATTACAAGTGATTAATTACGTGACAACCTATTTTTATATTTGTGCAGATCAAAACCTGAAATTTTATGTTTTAATTTGAATGACTTTCGTTGAATTTAAACTTTAAAATACAAAATATTGTTTCAACAAGTTTTTAAATGAAACTATATTTGAATATCTTGAATGAAACGTTTTTGAATTTGAATATTTTTAATTTAATATTTTTAAATGTGCTAAAACAAAGAAACATGATAAATTACATTGATTTTAATTTTTCACAAAATTAAACGCAAATTATAAAAGACTTTGAAACTTAAAATATCAAAATCTATTTTTGAACAATTATGAACATAAAAATCATTTGCACAATTTCATTTTGCACAAGTATGAATACTATTCTAGCAAATTTTGAAATGAAATTGAATTTAAATATTTTAAATCTAATGTTTTTAAACATGCTCAAGCAAAAAAACATGATAAATTGCATTGATTTTAATTTTTCACAACATTTAAGTGTAAGTTGTAAAAGACTTTGGAGTTTAAAATATCAAAATCTGTTTTTGAACAATCATGAGCATAAAAACTATTTACACAATTTCAAATTGTGATATAAAAATCATTTTATACAAAGTTTTTAACTTTTTGTTATATTTCATACTTATTTATCAAAAAAAGTTCTGTATCCTAGATTCATAATATCTAATCGAGATTTCAAGTTTTTTAGTCATTTTTGACGTATCTTTTAGAGGAAGCTTGTAACCAACTGCAACTTGGACAACCATTTAAAAAGTTGTGAGAAAAAATATCAAGCAATAAAATCTTGTTTTACCTTAAGTATAGTTTGTTTACAACTACTCACCAACCAAACCACTAGTTGGAGCCCTTTTGAGGTGATTTATGATAAGAATCCAATCAACCCTTCACATTTAGTTCTTCTCTCAACTAATAAACAATTTAGTGAAGATGCAAAATAAATAGTTAAGGATATCAAATGACTACATAAATAAATGAGAACTAAGATTTTACAGCAAAATGAAAAATACAAAAAAGCAACAAACAAGCATCAAAGACGTGAAGTTCAAAAAAGGTGATTTGGTGTAGATTTCCACAAGAGAAGTTTTAGAAGTTACAACCTAAGATAGATAGTCCGTTTAGAATTCTCTGCAAGCTACAAAAAACAATAACTAACCTGTAGATTTCGACTAGGAATTTTTTGCAGAAGGAAGACATTGTAACAGACATTGCAACAAACGCCATTTAACTATGAATCTTTGATGCTGATCTAGAGGAGAAAATAACCTTTCCAAATCTGATAGGCTTTTTATAAGAGAAATCTCACATTAATAGCATAGAAAATGCCAATACAAATTCCAAAAAAATAAAAGTTGCAATCACCTATTTTGATTAAATCAAGACTTTGTCAAACTCCCTATTTTTCACAAAAGCTGCAACAACTTTAATATATGCTTTTATGCAAGATCATCGTCCACAATATATAATGAAAACATAGTTTACCACTAGAAAAAGTAAAAAAAAAAAGGTCAAATCATGCACAATTTGTTAAGTAAAAAAAAAATTAGGCTAGTAGAAATCAAACCTTCTGAAGGCCTCCAAATTCCTCACACATTCCAATTTGCCTTCCTCCAACCAATTCTACAAAAGGTTCTTCTTTGCTTAGATTGATTATCAAGCGAGAAAATTTTCAAATTATAAACCATTATCGGTCAGCATATAACTTTTTTGCACATGTACAACCAGTATCAGTTGCACTTATGATTTCACAAGCTTTCAAATCTCAAATACTAAAAGCTGTAGAAAACAGTAGCTAAACTATAGATTTCTACAAGGAAATTTTTGCAGAAGGAAAACATCCTAACCAACCTGAGTACGCCATTTAACCATGAAATTTTGATGCTGTTCTATACGAGAAATAATATCCCGAAATCTGATAGGCTTTTATAACGGAAATCTCACGTTAATAATATAGAAAATGCCAGTACAAATTCAAAAAAAAAAAAGTTGCAATCACCTATTTTGATTAAATCAAGATTTTGTCAAACTCCCTATTTTCTACAAAAGCTGCAACAACTTTAATATGCGGTTAAAGTATTATAACCTTAACTTAAACTCAAAACCTCAAATATATCCCAAATAAATTAAACCCCGATGCAACCCTAAGACAATTATCCATTACTTTCTCGAATAGAAGGCCTTAGGAACCTAAAGATATGCAAAAGGGAAAAAAATCAAACAAGAACAATCATAACACAATATAAGAAAAACGCAATGAGAACATACATCTAATGAAATTCTAAAGAAGATGGATATTTAAAGTTTTAGAGAATGTAATCTGAAAAGAGCTAATCCTTCTTTTAAAGTAGCAAATCTTTCAACATAAGTTATAGCAAAGCAGTAGCCTCCTCGATAAGTTCCTTTGAAAACAAAAAGAAAAATCCATTAAATAATTACATTTGTTCTGTATATAACTCACTACTTTTACAACCAATTGACATAACAAAACTTGAAGAGATGTATAATGGTATTGTACTCACCTGGATAACCTCCATCCTTTTGAGACATCATCAATGCAAAATTAATAGATCTGTATGAGTAAAACATTAAATGACAATTGATATTTCTAAGAAAAATAGTTTCTCCATACAGAAACCCTATCTCATAAAAAAAATCCAAAATACTAACATTTTTTGGTTGGAAACTTCTAAAAAGATATTTTAATTTAATATGAACATTTATAAACTTGACTTTTAACATATCTTAACATGTTTATCGGTTGTACTTATGATTCCACAAACTTCCAAATCTCAAATACTAAAAGCTGCAGAAAACAGTAACTAACCTGCAGATTTCTACAAGGAATTTTTATAGAAGGAAGACATTGTAACCAACTCGAGGATGCCATTTAATAATGAATTTTTTATGATGATCTAGAGGAGAAAATAATCTCCCCAAATCTGATAGGTTTTTAAAAGGGAAAGCTCGCATTAATCGCATAGAAAATACCAGCACAAATTCAAAAAAACAAAAGTTGCAATCGCCTATTTTGATTAGATCAAGATTTTGTCAAACTCCCCATTTTCTACAAAAGCTACAACAACTTTAATATATGCTTTCATGCAAGATTGTTGTCCATATTTAATAAAAAGAACACAGTTTACCATTAGAAAAAGAAAAAAAGTCAAATCAAGCACAATTTGTTGAAGTAAAAAAATTTCAGATAAAATTCATTAAGGTGGTGGAAATCAAACCTTTAGAAGGTCTTTAAGTTCCTCACACATTCTCATTTGCCTTCCGCCAATCAATTCAACAAAAGATTCTTCATTGTTTGGATTGATCACCGGGTGAGAAAAATTCAATATTATAAACTGTTATCAATCAGCATATAACTTTTCTACATATTTGAAATGAGTGATTACCTTTTCAATAAAGTAAACAAGCAACCTGCTGGCAAGTTCATGATCACCAGCCACTGGAGATTCCCATTGCATCTTTCTAAAGGTTGTCTTTCTGCAAAAATGCAAATGTTTCTCAATCTACTCAAGCAAGTCAAGCAATTTGTGCTTGATCATAGAGGCTGAACATTCCATTTGCCAAAATGGCATCAGCCAGATCCAGAAAAGCAGCTAGACCAATTTCCATTACTTTCTTAACTCATTTTACTGATTGAACAAACCCAAGCTCACAAATCAAGTATTATAACCTTATCTTAAACTGAAAACCTCAAATATATCTAAAAAAAATTAAACCCCAATTAACCCTAAGACAATTATCCATTACTTTCTCCAATAGAAGGCCTTAGGAACCTAAAGATATGCAAAAGGGAGTAAATCAAACAAGAATAATCATAAAACAATATAAGAAAAACTCAATGAGAACAAACATCTATTGAAACTACTAAAGAAGATGGATATTTCAAGTTTTAGAGATTATAATCCAGAAAGAGCTAACCTTTCTATTGAAGTGGCGTAATCTTGAACATATGGTATAGCAAAGCAGTAGCCTCCTCGATAAGTTCTTTTGAAAACATGAAAAATCCATTAAAAATTTACATATGTTCTATGTATATCCCACTAATTTTATGACCACTGACATAACTAAACTTGAAAAAAAGATGTATAATGGTATTGTACTCACCTGGGTAACCTCCCTCCTTATGAGAAGTCATCAATGCAAAATTAGCAGTTCTCTGAGTAATTAATTAAATAATAACTGATCTTCCTAAAAAAAATAGTTTCTCCATGATAACTACAAAAATCCTATTCCATAAAAAAATCTAAAATACCAACATCTATTGGTTTGAAAATGCTAAAAACATAATTTAATTTAATAAGAATATTTACAAAATTGACTTAAAAGCCTTTAATTTAAATATTTAACACATTTTAACTTGTCTATTGGTAGTACTTATGGTTCCACAATCTTCCAAACCTCCAATACTAAAAGTTGCAGAAAACAGTAAATAACCTACAGATTTCTACAAGGAATTTTTTGCAGAAGGAAGACATTGTAACAAACCTGATGTCGCCATTTAACTATGAATCTTTGATGCTGGTCTAGAGGAGAAAATAATCTCTCCAAATCTGATAGGCTTTTATAAGAGAAATCTCACATTAATAGCATAGAAAATGGCAGTACAAATTCAACAAAAAAATATTTTTGCCAAAAATCCCAAGGAACAAGCCAAAATGTAAAGAAAATTGCACTAAAAATGAGCTTGAAAAAGCTAAAATTTTAGTGCAATCAAGCCCCCAAATTTAAGCTTTTGCTTGTCCTTAAGCAAAACAAGATTGAGCAAGAATCATACTATACTCTCAATGCCTTATTCAATATGAATGCTTCATGAATTGATCAATGAATATAACCAAAGTAAAATCATGAACAAGTGATAATATACAAGAATCTACCTAGACTAAGATCATTCTTAACTATGGTTCCACAAGCAAGCAACATCTCTCATATATTCTTGCATGAAATCTAATAATGTTATGCAAAACATGAAACTTTAGTAACAATTATCAATAAAACATGCTCATGTTCCATAAGTTTCCTTATCACATCTCTCTCCACTAATGTAGATAAACACATGACCAAGGATCATTTAAGACTTTATTAAGCTTGTAATGTAAGACTAAGGTCAAGGTATGATAAAAGTCATTTAAACTCAAGTACCCTAACAATGCATCACATGTCTAGGATCATCCAAAGTTAAGCTTCCCAAGTAAGAAAAGTAAGCTTGACTAAAGAATCCCCCCAAACTTTGATTGTGCAAATTTTTCTTTCTTTCCTTCTTTTCTTTGCTTTTGCACCACTTTATTACTTTTGTTTTTCTTTTCTTTTTCACAACTTTTTCTTTTTTTTTTTCTTTTGTAAGATTGACTTTTTCTTTCTCTTTTGGTTTTTTTTATTTTTTTTTATTTTCCCATTCTTATTCCAAGCTCCATCCTTCCTCCCTAATAATGTATAGCTCATAAATGGAGGATGAATGTCCTAATGCATATATAGGGTAAAGGATAAAAAAGATAGGAAATATACAAAATAAGTCTATAGGCTTGTAATGTGGTTTCAAAACAAAGAAAAGGCATCATAAGACTCATATGGGGTGACTATGGAAATAATATATCAAGGTTGTATTGAAAGGCTCAAACGATCCAATGATGGCCTATATCATTTCCTTAATCATGTGTCCCCTAGAATTTCACCACGAAAAATGATCAAAACAAATTCTAGAATCATGAAACACAACTTTAAAGACCAATGCAAAAACAATCTCATGCTCACATAATCAATACTGGATAAAAAAAAAATGTAATTCAATGTTCAAAAGCATCACTCACAAACAAATACCATATTCAAGAATTCACTAGACCTAAGTATCATCTCATATTTCACACATATTCAATCTTTCCTAAAGCTATATTCATTCTCAATCACTACCTATCATTGGCTTCATGGAGAACTAATCAAAGAAAGCATAGTAATAATTCAAGTTACTAAATGTTAAGCTTAATTTCAAGGCAAAAATCAAAGAAAATTTGAAAAAAATTTTCAAATTTTGGGCAATTTTCGCATACACCCAAACTTATATAACACATTGTCCTTAATGAAAAATAGTTTCTCCATACAAAAATCATATCCCTTCAAACATTTCCAAACTACTAACATCTATTAATTAGAAAATGCTAAAAAGAGATTTTAATTTGATAAGAATATTTATAAAATTGACTTAAAAGGCTTTAATTTAAATATTTAACACATTTTAACTTGTTTATCGATTGTACTTATGATTCCACAAACTTCCAAACCTCAAATACTAAAAGCTGCAGAAAACAGTAACTAACCTGCAGATTTCTACAGGTAACTTTTTGCAGAAGAAACACATTGTAACCAACTTGAGGATGCCATTTACTAATGAATCTCTGATGCTGATCTAGAGGAGAAAATAATCTCCCTAAATCTGATAGGCTTTTAAAGGGGAAAGCTCACATTAATCGCATAGAAAATACCAGCACAAATTCAAAAAAAAAAAAAAAAAAAGTTGCAATCACCTATTTTGATTTAATCAAGATTTTGTCAAACTCCCCATTTTCTACAAAAGCTACAACAACTTTAATATGCACTTTCCTGCAAGATCATTGTCCACATTTTATAAACAGAACACAGTTTACCATTAGAAAAAATTAGAAAAAAAAAAAAAGAAAAGGTCAAATCATGCACAATTTGTTTAAGTAAAAAAATTTTAGATAAAATTCATTAAGGTCAAATCTTCATAAGGTCTTTAAGTTCCTCACACATTCCCATTTGCCTTCCGTAAATCAATTCTACAAAAGATTCTTCATTGTTTGGATTGATCACCAGGCAAGAAAAATTCCATATTATAAACCATTATCAATTAGCATATAACTTTTCTACATATTTGGAATGAGTGATTACCTTTTCAGTAAAGCATACAAGCAACTTACTGGCAAGTTCATGATCACCAGCCACTGGAGATTTACATAGCATCTTTGTAAAGGTTGTCTTTCTTCGACAATGCAAATGCTTCTCAATTTACTCAAGCAAGTCAAGCAATTTGAGCTTGATCATAAAGGTTGAAAATTCTGTTTGCCAAAATGACATCAGCCAGATCCAGAAAAGTAACTAGACCAATTTCAAAGACCTGCATAAGAAAGAATGTAATGCACTGAGTGAGTAAATTTTAAAAGAAAAAATAAAAAATTTGATAGCTTAAGTAGTTACTCAATGCTAAATAACATTTGTTTGTGGAAAACCATGCTTTGGAAATTTTGGCTTTAAAGCATATAGCAATGCAGTAGCCTCCTGGATAAGTTCCTTTGAAAACAGGAAAAAAAAAATTTACTAAAAAAATTACATTTGTTCAGTGCATATCCCACTACTTTTACAACCAATGATGTAACTAAACATGAAGAAAAGATGTATAATGGTATTGTACTCACCTGGATAACCGCCCTCCATTTAAGACATCATCAATGCAAAATTAATAACTCGCTATGTGCAAATCATTAAATGATAACTAATTTTCCACCAAAAAAAAAAATTCTCCATGATAACTAAAAAAATCCTATCCCATCAAAAAAATCCAAAATACTAAAATCTATTGGTTGGAACTTGGAACATGCTAAAAGAGATTTTAATTTACCAAGAATATTTATAAAATTGACTTAAAAGGCTTTAATGAAAAGATTTAACACATTTTAACTCGTTTATTGGTTATACCTATGATTCCACAAGCTTCCACAACTCATCAGAAAACATAAACTAACCTGTAGACATTGTTAGGAGTGTAACCAAGGATGCCATTTAACCATGAAACTTTGATATACTGATCCAGAGGAGAAAATAATTTCCCCAAATCTGATAGGCTTTACAAGGCATCAATATTTCCCATTTGAGCTGCCTTCCTCAACCCTTCATCCATAGTAAAGATCCAATAATAATTATACAGACAACTAATTTTAGAGTAGACAGACGAAAGAAGGTAAATATGGAGTTTGGTTTCATTTGCATATTGGTTATCAATATTACATCCACTGAATTAAAGTGGCATGATCTGTCATATATGCCTACAGAAAACAACCTTTTTCAAAGTTATTTTGCATTTTGACACATTGCATTTATTTGGTATATTCCACTACAAAAAATCATCTGTCTTTCTGCTAGGGTAATGTCCTGTCCTCATTTGGTCCCTAATTAGTCTATTTTATTCTTTGAGGCAAGACAGAATTAAGGTTTTTTAGATTAAGGTGCAACATCAAATCTTCTATCCTAAAATTAAAAATTAACTACAGAGGCTCTTCGGGTGCACTTGGTTTGGGATATGAATGGGCCAGAGATTCAAAAATTTTAAGAGGCCTTTTTTTTTTTTTTAATTTCTAGGAGGTGAGATTGGGTTTGAATCATGAAGCAACTAATAAAGGAAATATATATTGAACTTTCCAAAGAAACAGAATTAATTTGGAGACGAAAGTGAAAGTGGAAAATGGTGGATGCATTGAAATTTCTCCACCTTATTTGATTACATCAGTTAATGACTTACATATAAAGCATTACGGTAAAGTGGAGGAAAATTCAAGAATACTGTAACATAACTTTTGCCTTTTTTTACTTTTCTCGAACTTTCTAGTCTCTTCTGTAGGTAAAATGAGGGAAAATTTAAGAATACTTTAACATTAATAACATAAAAAAATGCCAGTACAAAGATTAAAAAAAAAAAAAAACTGTTGCAATTACCTACTTTAATTAAATCAAGAAATTTTCAAACTCCCTATTTTCTACAAAAGCTGCAACAACTTTAATATATGCTTCCATGAAAGATCATTATCCATAGTCTATAACGAGAATACAGTTTACCATTAGAAAAAGTAAAAAAAAAAAAAAAAATTTCCAAATCAGGCACAATTGTTGAAGTAAAAAAATTAAAATAAAATTTATAAAAGTGGTAGAAATCAAACCTTCAGAAGATCTCCAAGTTCTTCACACATTACAATCTGTCTTAAGCCAACAAATTCTCCAAAATATTCATCTTTGTTTGGATTGACCATCGGCTGAGAAAAATTCCAACACTTCAAAGGAATTAAGTTTCCCTCTAGTTATATCTAAAACCCTAATTTCCCTACCTAATTTCGATGCCCAATCTCAAGGGAAGCTGTATCCCCTCATTATTTGCTCCGATCTCGATAATTTTTAACTTATATGAGTTGATACTTATTGTGGCACTTTAAATAAATTTCAGTGTGATACTTAGATCCACAAAATTAAATGTAAAAAATGGCAAAAAATGTAAACTACCAGTCCTACCCATGTCCTAAAAGTGCATCTGTTTACCAATTCATCAAACAAAGGCATATAAACAGTTTCATATACGCTAAACCTCAAACCTCCATTTCCGATCACAATTCACCAACATACACCCATTTAATAACTTTAATTCCTTGTGTCTTGATGGTTAAATGCATGCATGTTAGCCATTGAGATTTAGGGATCAAATGCTATCAGAGGCAGAGAACATAAACCCATTTAATAATTATAATGTATATAAAAACAACAATTACCTTATAAACTATCAAATTCATTCTCTAAACACTCAAATAAATATATTTAAAAAATAAAAAATAAAATTATGAACCAAACCCTAACTTCCAAAACTCAATTTCTTACCACATGCTCCCTCTGTACTTCAACGTGTAAAGCCCACTCTCCAACGCCCGAACAAAGTGACTATGAATCTCGTGCTTCCCTTTCCCACTCCGGTCCACACGGTGAGCTCGATAAGTGCTCGAACACCGGCACCTTCATTGGCCAAATCAATGAAAACCGAAACATACATCGCACTATCCTCCAGGTTTTCACCGTCGGGGTAAAAGTAAATCGCCCAATCGTAACCACCGACAGTAAAAACATCGCCGGCTATACATTTCACATGTCCCATCCCTTTCGCCAACGAGTAACCTTGGTCGTGAACTGGTGTGACCCGTTCACCGTATCGCTCACCGATTTCGGTACCGAGTCCCTGAAATCGTCCACGGTTTTCTTTCTTTGTTGCATCGATTCCTCAAAACCCTAATCCTAGTTCATTTCTTAGGTGATTCTGGAGAAATTGTGAGTAAAATGGGAAATTTAAAAGGTTAGGGCTATTTTTTTCTATAAAATAGAGGAGACTGTTAACGGTAAGATTAAAGGACACATCATCAATAAATAAATCTAAGGACAAAATTATGCCACGTCATTATAAAACTGCATAAGACATTTTTATCCTGCAAAGAGTTGCTTTTGCATTTTTATACATAATAAAGACTCCATCATCGCCTGACATATAGCATCCTGTTATTTTTTATTCTCTCAACTCTGACAATCGTCACGAAGACAAAGGTTTAAAAGCATCCTCCATTACTCTTCGACTTTGTTTCCATTAGAAAAATGAAATTTCTTTTTAAAACTCGCGTTTTCGTCTCAACTCAATTTTTACTTCAAAATCTAGCATTCTTTTGAATAGAGATTCAAATAGTGGTACTATAACGAAACAGTAGTTGCAAAATCACTATAAAATTATCACCTACCACTATTATAAAAAAAAAATAATTAAAAATTTTAATCACAATCAAAATAATGTGTAACAACTATTAAAAAATAACGTAACAAAAAATAACGACAATAACGATTTTTTATTGTCGCTATCTAATTTTTTCGTCAATACTCAACACAAATTATAATAATAAAAAAAAAGCTTTCAAATTTCAACAGGAACAGCCAAGATTCTCAAAACTCAAAATAAAATAACAAGATTGCAAAAACAAAAATAAAGACAAAAACCAAAAGAAAAGAATATCTGCTCATAACTCAGTCTTGTTCTCTTTCTTCTCAGTTTTAAAATTCGTTTAGAAATCTTATAAAACAGTATCAATTATTAGCCATTTAATTGGTAGCTACTCAAATTCTAATCAGTTTCAAATCCTTAATCAATAATAAAAATAAAAAATGTAAGAAAAAATTAAATTACATGTTTTTTTTTATAAAATTTTTGTAGAATAATGTTAATCTTTGTATTTATGATAATTAAAGTGAGAGAGATTAAGGTATGTGAAAGAGAGAGAAATACAAAAAAAATAGAGAATTGGTTGAGTTGATTTGAGAGATCTACCGTCAATGCTATGAAAAAATTGAATGAAAAAATTGAAAACAAGTAGTGGAACTTTTTGGGGTTGAAAGAAAAGTGGGGATGGAGCGTTTATTCTTATCTCATAATGAGGTGGTGGTTGGGGGTGGGGTGGGACGTGGGATTAGGTGGGGTGGGGTGCTTGAGGGTAAGATGGAGAGGTTGGGTGGGGTAAGGTGCATTGGGGGATAAGGTAGACTAGGTGGTTTTTATTTAATTTTATAATTAATTTTATTAAAATTTAAATTTAAAAATTTGTAATCATTTTGGGAAGAGATTTTTGGAAAAAAAATAAGTGATATAATAAAAATTTATGAGCATTTGATAAAAGTGTTGCGTCTTGTTGATGATAATGAAAAACAAACAATGTGATTTATTTACGAGGCGATGGACAGAGTTAAACAAGCAATTCAGTAAATTTATCGTTATTCTGCTGAATATAAAAAGATTATTGATAATAGATGGAGTTTAATGCATTCTAACTTACATTCAGCTGATAAGTAAACTAAGAATATAGATTGTAGCTAAAAAAATATGTTTATTTTTTATGCTTAAATTGCTTATATATTTATTTTTATTACTTTAATATAATATTGCTATGAATTATGTTTAAGTTACTATTTAATCCACAATTTCAATTTGGAGTAAAACATTCTGAAAATATACTTAAAAAAATTAGATGGTACAAGAGCAGTTATTGAAAGTTAAAACCTTATATAAATACTCAAATCAGAATGATTAATCAGGATAGTATTTAATACTATTTTATAACTTTGATATTTATTTTATGTATTAAAAATAAAATTATTTTTTATTTATTCATTTATTATTATATTTTCAATTGATGTAGTTGCTATTATTTTCGAAACAAGCACAAAACATTTGGTACTCCACAAGCATAAAGAGCTTAGAAGCAAATGAATTCAGGTAATTAATAAATTAAATAATTATAATTTATTTATATTATTTAATTGAATAGCACATTTAAATTTAATTTAAATAAATTTATACTGCTGAGTGGTAGATGATATATGGTACTTGTATTCCTGAATTACAAAAACTAGTAATCAAAGTGCTTAGTCAAACAACATTTGCAACAAATTATGAACGTATTTGGAGCACATTTAGCTATATTCACACCAAAGCAAGAAATAAATTGAAGGTTGAAAAACTTCAAAAAACTTGTATATACCCATTACAACATGAGGTTGAGGATGAAACATAAAAAAAGAATGAGCATTGATGAGATAAATAATAGCTTTAATCCTATTAGCCTTAACCATATTTTTTAAGATGATGATCTACTAACAGAATAGCTGCAAGAGAAAGAAATTCTTCTGTTAGATGGTCAAAACTCTAATTGGTTGCCTACAGATAATTCTGATAATGAAATGAATGTTAAACAATCGCGCCAATTTTAAAAAATAAATGTGTTTCATTCAAGTTCAAGTCCAACACCAAGTTAGAGTAATGATGGTAGGGGTTTAAGTCCAAATGATAGTGATGGTGAAATTTTGATGGTAATATGGATGCAAATTGACTTTATAGCCCATTTGGAGGAAAATTTGATCTTGTTGCTACTGGTGGACTTTCTTATTAATATGACATAGTAAATCTATTTGTTGAATTTAGTAGGGGTCAAAGTGCACATACAGCTCGATCAAAAGGAAAAGCCAATAAGTACCATTATGATATTTCTAGAGATTTTTCATCTTCAGGTAGGAGACCAAATTCTAGTAATTTTAAGTAAAATGAATCATCTACTAATACTCAAGGATGTTACTATTCACCAGAACAACCTAATTTTCAATCTCCTCATGGTTATCCACCTTTATATAATTATTATCCACCACAAATATGTTATTCACCTCAAATGTATCATTTACCACAAATGTATCCCCCACCATAAATGTATCATCCTCAAATATATCATCCACCTCAAATGCATTAAGAACAAAGGCCACAGTGATGGGAATGGAGTCAACTTGACTCTCAAAATGAAAATAAAGAATTTGATCATCTTCGTCATTCTACCATTTGGTAAATTTTGAAATATATATCAATAGTTATAGTTGATAGAATTTGAAATTATTATATTTTTAAGTTTGTAATTTTATAAAATAAAAATACTTGGTATTTAATATATTATGTTTTGTTAATATCTTGATTTGTCTAGAATTAATATTGAATATGAACTTGGCTCAAACAAAAATTTTGTTGCTAAACCAAATATGAATGTTTTATTATAATCTAATTAAAATTGTGAATAATTTTTTTTTAGAAAATAAAAAATATAGTATGATAAACTATTTTAAAAATCATTAAATAAGCTTTTTTATGATTATAATTATAATTATTATATTTTATAATAAATTATGTAAAATTAAAAAAATTCACGACCGCGATGACCTTGATGATCCCAATGATCTCCGTTATATTAAAAAACACAATAAATGCGATGCGACTGAAAACGTAACTGCAACCATTATTTAAATCTTTGCTTACGCGTTCTTCCAGGGGTTACAAGCGTTGCTTTAGAAAAACAACTTTAGAAACTTCTGACTATACAAAGGATGATTGCCTAACCATGAAATGCATGGTTGGTGTGGTCAGAGCTCACCAGTGTTCTATTCCTATACCTCCATCAGACATGGGTCAGAATCTTAAAGCCTTGTTAGATTCTGAAGTTGGTTGTGATATAAATTTTCAGGTTGGTGATGAGACATTTAAAACACATAAGTTGATCCTTGCTGCCCACTCACCTGTTTTTAGAGCACACTTTTGGGCTTGTTGGGGACCTAACATGTATAAAGTAGTAGTGAAAGATGTTGAGCCGTCAATCTTCAAGGTGATGCTTCCTTCTACCTTTTTTATGGATTTTGAATATGTTGCATAAGCAAACCCCTGAAATGAATATATGATTCTTCTTAATTCATTTTATTAGAAATAGGATCCGATAAAATTTGGTTCTTATATTTGCCTAGATGCAAGATCCAACTATAGATTGTAGTTCTGTAAACGTGCCGTTATTTTCATTCATTAGCTAATTAACCTTTATCTGTTCTTCTTGTTCTTCTAGGCAATGCTCTTGTTTATTTATACCGACAAGCTTCCTGATGTACGAGAGACTGCAGGCTCACCATCTATGTGTATGTCTACCAACATGGTGCAGCATCTTTTGGCCACTGCAGTGTGAAGAACTTGATGCTGACACAGTGGCAACGACCTTTGCTCTGGCTGAGCAGCATCATTGTGCACAGCTTAAGGCCATATGTTTGAAGTTTGCTGCAAATCCAGCAAACTTGGGAGGTGCGTGCTCGTAGATATTGACTAGTGCAAATTTCAAGTTTTGTCAAGTTGGTTTTCATATTGTTTGCTCTTCGGAAGTTCTTTGGTGCTCTCTCTTGCATAACTAGCTCTTGTCAGATACTTATGGTCCCTTAACTTTCAAGAGGGTTTGGTACTTGAAATTTTTAGATAAAACTAGTTTGCTATGTATGACTTTACATTTTAGCTAAGTGCTACAAGATTGCAGATGTATATGTCTTTCACTTGACTAGAGTGCAGATCTTTATGCCGTTATATTTTGAGATTTTCTAGTTTTCTATTTTGTCATTTTATTACTCTTACCCCACTCCCACTCCTTTCTCTTGCCATGCGTTATGTACTTTTTAGTAATCATTTATAACTTATTGATGCTGGACTTAACTACAGCTTTAGAACCTGGGAAAGGCAAATGGAAAAAAAGTGACAAATCGGCAGTTGTAATAGATTTTTTTATTGGCATGAACTTACTTGAAAAGTTGAAATTAGTATTATATTATACACTAACATATTTTCTTGTTTGGCAGTGGTGATCAAACTAATGTATGTTTTCAATGTTTTGCAGGTGTAATGACGTCAGAAGCGTTCAATCACTTGGAGGAATGTTGCCCATTTTTGTTGTCAGAGCTGTTGATGACCTTTGCATCCGGCGAGGAGAGTTCAAGTCTGCTATCAAGTAGGAAGAGGAGTGGAAGCAATGTATACAGTATAGATCTAGCGGCAGAAGGTCCTGTGGCAGGAGCAGTGAATCACAATGGCAGGCATATCTGGAGGCGTTGATCCAAATGGTAGGCGTGTTTGGAGTGCTCCGAGGACATACTACCCATATACCTCAAGGGAGTGGAATTTTCACAAAACCCTCGTTATGTATTACATGTTTATAGTAGCTATAACTTGTAATTTTTTTTTTTTGTATAAAGTAACTCTGTTTTCTTGAGGCCCGAACTGTATTCTCTGGGGTTTTCGCATAATCAGTTATTTAGATTCCT